AATTATGATATTGGTATAATAATTATAAGTTTCACAAAAATTATTAAGAGCATGTGTTACGGCGCGTAAACATTAAAAACCGGCATTGAAATGGTCAAATGCCCGTCGCTGTAGAGCAACACAGTTCCGTATATAACGCGTTTATAGTAGACTGAAACCCTACGTTTAAAAAACGTAATCATATACTCGTATATAGCACGCATAAATCTCCGGCGGATATTGCTATATTCTTGTAGAATATTCTTGCGTTTATTATTCGCATTTATATACGATTTATATGCGTTTATTGAATACGTTTAAATTTCGCATATGGAATACGTAGTAGTATATCCTTACGCATTATTCGTATTAAATTCGTCGATAATGTACTGCTAATAAATGCAATATAATATGTGCTTGGTAGATTGTATACTCGTATTTTTAATCAAATCAAAGGTCTAAATTATATAAAGCGCATAATAATTACAAAGTCCATCATAAACATTCAGGGTCCATTTTCTTCTTTGCTTATTTGTAAACCTGGGCATTGGTGTATTGGTAAGTAATATCCTTGGTAATATCATTATTATTTGTTCATATTCTTCCTCCTAAATTTTCGTTTCCAATCGTGGTAAAAAACAAATTTTGTTTATATGGCGTTAGATATCCCAATAAAGACCACGTGTGTTTCAAAAATTGTGACGGTGGTTCTACTGCTATGGAAGGCGTCAGTTTGGCAGAAGGATTTAAGCTGAGTGAAGAATTATATGGCGTACGCTATAGTACTCTGATCGCAGATGGAGATAGTAATATTTATCACAAAATCTTAGAAAGTAGACCATATAAAAACCGTAAAGTTGAAAAAATCGAATGCAGGAATCACCTTTTGAGACATTTTTGCAGTATACTTAGTGCATTGGGAAAAGATACCAGAATACCTTTAAGACAAAGAAAAGTTTTGAACAAAAACATCCTTAGCTTCCGAAAAGCAACTGTAGGTGCTTCTGAATACCGCGGAACTAATCAATTGGATGATACAGTTACAGAAGGAGTAAAATTATTGTTGAAGAAAGATATTGATAACACCATTTTGCATATTTTTGGATGCCATTCTAATTGTGAATTGTACCAAAAAAGATAGTAACGAAGATAATTTAATTGCCGATATGCAAAATTCTCCAGAGTTTTTTAAAAGGTTAGAAGATATAAAGGCATTGAGTAATAACAACAAAACTCTGTTAAAAAATAAAGATAGCAATACTGTTGAGCACGCTATTGTAACTAAATTCGTTGGAGACAAGAGGATCAATTTATCATTTAGATGATCCTACACACCAAGGTGTTTTCGTGTAGTCACCGCGTTTAATTCCGGAGCTGTTCATACGGCTTTCTCACGAAAGGTTTATATAAAAGTAGTCCAAGTTTCCGCGTGTAAAGTTTGTTACATTTACGTGGAAACTGGAAATAAGAAAACGACTGGCAGGTTCAAAAACAATTTTTCCTAGAAAAAAATCGTTACACACGAAAAGCAAGAGGAGAGACAAGGATGTAGAATGTGAGAAACCCGATTTGGAGCCTGAAATATTTGAGATAGAAAAACTAAAATTTTTAGATTCTTTAAAGAAAAGTGAAATTGAAAAACAAAATTTAGAAAGACAAACCGTTGACCAAGCCAATTGCGAAGAATGGAAAATCGAAAGAAGAAAAATTTTAACTGCTTCTAATTTTCAAGACATTTACAAACGACAACTAACTTATGGTTTTGCACCTTTAGCTAAGAAATACCTATATTCGGGTGACATTAGCCACTGTAAGCCTATTATTCATGAAAAAAAAATGAACACATTGCTTTAGAGCAATTGGCTAAAGAAGAAAACGTAATTCAGGACTGTAGACTATTCATACATCTCGTTTTTGATTACCAGGGTAAATATTGAGCTTTGTCATATTGATTTTCTTAGTTTGTATGTCACCTGATGGGTTAAAAGGGGACGATTTGATTGTTGAAATAAAATTTCCATTTATAGCGTATACAATAAGCATTATTCCGATGCCATAACTACCAAAAAAAATTCCAATTTTTAAAAATTCTGATGTTCAAGCAGAAAATTTTAAAATAAACACAAACCATAAATTGTATACCCAAATAACAAGAAAGATGGGTCATCTTTGATTGTTTATAGGATTATTAGTTTTTAGTGGTAATTGTACTAATTTTAAAGGACGAGTTTAAATTCAATCTCAAGTTTGTGCACTTCGGATAAAACTTCAATAAATGTCGTTTGAGGCCAATGCTAGATTTATTATTTAAACCAATTGTGCAGTGATATTGTGGACCTTATCTACTTACTAATCCTACTGATGTAAGTAAATGCAATGTAGGCAGAAGAACCGAACGGTGGTATAGTCCCACAAAACTACCACTATTTCGGTATCAGCTGTGACATTCTTAGTATGTTTTGTACAAAGATGGATAGGTAGACCCTTAAAAACATCTTGACCAGATTTTCGAAATAAAACCAAATTAAATATCGCGTCATCTTGCTCTAAATATGCTCAAGTTTTGTTTTAGAATGAGATATCTACTTGTGGGAATCGCAAACAAAGCCTGAATAAGATCGGTTGCGATGCTAATTAATTTTCAATGTTGAATAAGTTCACATACCTAATTAGAAATTCAAATGGTGCAAGGTTAACTGATATCCTTTCAAGCCTAGGTCAAGTATCAATTCTGTGTGCTATCTATTTTGTTGCATTCAAGTTTGCGATTTAAAAATAATCTGCCGGGCTCTTTAATTTTACCGATTAATGTTATTGTTTAAAGTACGAGTAATTACACTCAAATAATCCATTCGTCCGTTTTTTGGTTATCCTGTCCATATGACTACAACCAGGAAAGTACAGCCTTCCACTGGAGTGGTTTTGAAACCGGTTGTATGTGAAGACTGGACTCGTGATTATCCCCCATCCCTTGATACGCTAAATGTTCCATGATTTTGTAGTGATCTTTTTATCTTCACATTTGTACAAAGTTATTTCACTATTGTTATCGATTGTCGTTGAAATTTTCCATTAGGTATAGTAATAATTTCACAAGCGTTTCTAGTAATGAATCACGTGCAAAAATCAAATGTAATGCAAAGGATTTACGGCCGAACTTAAGATTAACATCTGCAATAAGTTTTTATAGTGAATTTTGACTTTTTAGTTAGGTAATGTAATTAATAACACTTTTTGTAACAAAAGTTCTGTTTATCAATACATCCCACCTATCTTATCAATTTAATCAAATAACGGAAGAGCTGGGGCGCGACCGATAATATCACAATGGCTTGTCTGGAAAAGTGAGAGCTATCAACTAAAAATGCACGCCCGTAATTGATTGTACTTTGCAATAATTGAAGGTGACAGAATCGTAACAGATTTTCTACAATCGCAATCATTTTCATTCGATACTTTAAAACGAAACAGTATAGTTATGACCGTTCCATTTAAATATATATAAAGGAAATTAGAATATCCTTTGTGTGTTTACCTGTACGACGTAAACAATATCACAACTAGCGTGCTACGTCATTTAAACATACCGAAAGTGCCGTCAATTAATTTGATTAATTCGAATTTTTTTACCCGAAAAACCAATAATCTAATCTATAAATAAAAGTTTCAAAATAACCGCTTCCGGCGCGCGTCGCGACGCTCACGCATGCGTTTGAATAATCGATCCGGCATCCAAACAACTTCAACAGTGTTACAAAGATGTCAACTTATTGTTGCATATATTTCCAATTTTACAGCAACAATGTCAGATAGTGCTCAACAACGATATTGGGTGAGTACCTATTCCTTTTGGCATAATTTTCTGTTAATCGAAATACGGGCGTGTTGTTAATTATTGAACGTAATTCCTGAAACAGTAAGTTTTGTTTTAATGTTTTTAGTGAACGTCTGGTTTGAAGTAAAAACAAATACCTTATCTTTGTAATTGCATTAAGTCGCCTAAAAATGTCGTTAGTTGTATGATTAAATTCGAATAAGAATTGTTGTAATCAATTACAACAGACAGTCGATTCAATTTTAAAATATTTCCCATTCGGATTAATTTCCCGTACGGTCTTTATCCGCATTTTCAAATAGATTGTTGATGTAGTAATTAGGTAGGGTATTTATATTCAGAATAACTCATGGGAAATTTGCACATATATTTTATTTAATTGCGATACCGAGACTATTCAGTGCAGTTTTTGCTTGTTATTGACAAGGCACCAACAACTTTTAGATATTTTCCCATACGTTTTTTTGGGTATATTAGACAATGTACGACCTTCAATAATACACCCTGACTGCAATATCGTTTAATTACCGAGTGAACAGTTTTCACATGTGTGTCAAAAAGACCTCTAAACTCATGCCCAACCATTTTAATTAACAAAATTTACAATGTTACAGATTTATTACTCTAATAACATATTTATTAGACACATACATTCTTTTAATACAGGATGTTCTTAGATATGGTGTAAATGCGGAAGGGGCTAATTCTTTGGCTTATTTTATGCTAAAAATTCATATAAATATAGGTCCCCAAACGCTTCGTTACCGATCTACAGGGTGTTACAATTAATGGTCATCGTACACTTTACAAATTAAACCTTTAATTTATAAACATATGCAAACACAAGAACTGGAACATTTTAAAATTGTTATTTTCATTTAGCAAAGTAGGTATCGAAAATTGATTTTTTTTCTCGATAAAAATTACAAGATACCAAAAATTTTCCAAACAAATCAGAAAATCAAATTCTTATTTTACGATCTACCAGTGGCGCACCGAAAAAAGTTTAGTGATACATGATCTCTGAAAAAACAAAACCTTGTACATTTTTACCATCATCACAGATAAAATACCCACGCGTAAGTTTGATTTAGTCATAAAATAAGCCAAAGAATTAGGCCCTTCCGTATTTACATCATATTTAGGGACATTGCGATAGTTTACAAAATCGTCTTATCCGCTAGAATATACCCGAATGTAAGAAAACATATACGTATAGCGAATCACCACCATGAATTTACGGAAAATAGATTTGATGTCGTGTATACTGATTTAGTAAAGCGTTGGACACCATTCGGCACGACATTAATGTTGTCAAGATCCACAACTTTGGCTACAACTTGACTTGTATGTAAGCAGTGGATTTCAACGTGTTTTGTATAATAATTTTTCTTTTGACTTCGTAATGGTTACTGCTGATATACCACAGGGTGCTATTTTGGGACCTCTTTTGTTTATTTTGTACATAAATGACTGAACAGACCTACTGAAGTGTGTTGCAGTGTCATATGCACAGAATTGAAAAGTATTCAGTCTCAGTCTCATCGATTAGTGAATAGTGACTGCGACTCTTTGCAATAACAGATGTAGTGGAGTTTAGCCAATTGTTTACTACTAAATAAAAATAGTTTGATTGACGCAGTTGACATAGGTTGAACAGACCTTATCATATTAAGTAATAGGACCAAAGAGTAACTCTTTGGTAGGACTACACAAACCCCTACTTTATTGAGAGGTAGAGCACGGTTATCCCAATGACGTTACGAATATAATATGGACATACTTTGTCTTATTGTACCATTGTTTTATTTACGTCGCCCATTTTGAATGTATCGAGATTTGTTATAACAAATGTCGTGTAAATAAGGATATTTTCGAATCTATTATCTAAACAACTGATTAAGTTGCATTGATTCATTTATTTTATACTAAGTAAATAGATTGTTGATTTTTAGTGCATTTCCACAAAAATTAAAATAGAAATGCGCTATTGTGACCAGTTTGTCCGTCCGTCCCTACAGCCTTTTTTTCGCTTGGTTCGTTATGGTGTCCAGGCTTAATAATAATAATAATAATAATAATATAATTTATTGCCATAGATCGTAAAAAACACATATAGGCATGGTCAGGTATAAACAACAAGTTAACAAACAATAAAATAGATGAGTACTTTACAGGAAAAAACAACATTTAGAATAAGTTAGCTGTGCGGTGTCGGTATACATTGGTAAAATTCGTCCAAGTTATAAAAGGAATGTACACTAACGAAGAATTTTTTTCTGTTTCGCTTGCGAAAAAGGTTATGGTAAAAAATCAATTTTTTTATCTGCCATAATTTTACACTTTCCTCGAGATCGTTTAGAATCTTGTATTGCTGTCTGTCAGTTTGTATCAGTCTGTCTGTCCGTCCGCCTGTCTGCAGTTGTCCACGATAACTTTTAATTTTTTTAATTTTTTTATTTGTCAAAATATCTAAATGAGAATGGAGATAAAACTAATGCCAAATCCAATAAATTTGTTTTGCGCATCCGGATACAAACACGTAAAACAATTATTGCGCATACCCATTCGTAATTTGTAAACCAATTCTTTTAAAATTTTAGGATAGGATTCTTATAAACTGAAATTGAAGTGGGACGTCAAAAATGGATTGCACATGTGCAACCCTAACTTTTTTATTTGTGCTCGGATTTTTACGAAATTATATCAGAAGTGGAAATGCGCTATTTGATTTTTCACTTGTTTATTATGCTTTGAGGGAATTTCTGTATATTGGTAGCTGATTTTAGGTTATTTTGATCTGCCGATTCTTAGTATTACTCACCATTGTTCTGGAATTGTAATAATTAATTATTCTGCTGCGCTATTATTATTATATGGTCCAGTTCCCTTGTCATTTCGCTTAAAATTTAAGATTTTGAATTAATCGTTTGAGTAAATAAATCGCGATTCTTAAAATAAAATGGTAGTTCAAACCCCGTACGGACGTCACTGGTAAAAATTCAAAAAACAATCTTTTACGTCAAATGCTCCTTAATGGTGAAAAGGTGTGTACACATTTCATAAAAATACCTGAGTGATATTATTATATTATGATAAAAAACTCACTTTTTTCTGAAAACCCTGTAGCTCAAAAACTAAGTGGTGTAGGACATATGTTGATATAAACTTTTCTCCTTAAAATCATCCGAGGATTCACACCTTGTATTATCGGCACTCAATTAATTGAGACCCTGTATTTTTAGCGCCGAATTAAAAAAAGGTGCTACTGTTTGCGTTTTGTCCGTCCGTCCGTCCTGAAATTTTTTGCTGTAGGTAGCCTATACCTTGAAGGTGTGCTAGACGGCCATCAAATTTCACTGTCTAAAGGGCCCCCCCCTTCCCCCACGAATTGTTCCCTGGGATACTGTTTTTGAAAGTGAAACGTGCATAACTTTTACATACGACAACCAATTGGTCTCAGATTTTGCATACGCATGCCTTTAGTGGTGCCAAGTTAAACTTTCGAAAATGGGGGGGGGGGGGGTCTCAACGAAAGAAGTTCATTTCTACCAACCATACCCTTCCTCCTCGACCTCTTATCGTAATCGGGTATATTCCCTTATAGCTCAAGAACGGATTGTCATTGAATCAGCCACAGTTTCTTTAGATGCTTAACTTTCCTTGTATAAAACTGGGAAGATACGGAGGTACTTCCTCAAGTAAATTAACCAATGATTTATTTATCATCCACAAGAAATATTAAACGTACTTAAATTTGGTATCATAAACCTTGAAAAAGAATTAGGTATCCAATGATTATGAACGTGCTTAATTCCAAAATTAACAACTTGTTATAACAGATTAACCGAGATTACAGATTGACCTTGCATTCGTGTACGAATTTCTTACAAAATGTCAGCAGATCAAGTGATTTTGATAAGAAATGGATGGGGATACAACTGGTCATTACATGGACGTAAAACTAAACTTGAAATTAACATTCGCACTAGGATGCACAATTGGTACTCAAAATTAAAACGTAGAATAAGACTTGTATTTAAAACCTTGAAAGATAGCGCATGTAACAACTCTTCGATCACAAACATCAACATACCTCTATGTAATAGGAGGGTTGTTTAGATTTAGTTAATTGCGTTTAGATACGCTAGTAAAATGTGTGGTAAACTCATCTGCAGAATTATCTGTGCGGTGTATCCTTGTGGGAATTAATTATGTTTCACATTGTTCTAATGCAATTTCCGGAATTCTTGATCACTTGATCATTACCTTTAATTTTAGCCCGATAAGACTATAAAAATGAAGATACTTTCAGTGCTGGACTAACTACTTATAGTTTCAGTCATAGGTACATAATAAATTGTAAACGACTTTTAGAGTAAAGGGGCGTGATATTATTGCTTCATTTAATAAATTGTTTGTTTAAATTAAAGTCATGGTTAATATTAATTATTGATTGGTTGAGATGATTATATCGTTGCAAGGATTTATTATAGTGCGTGACAGTAACCTTTACAAAGGTCAAGCCGCTCCGTGTGAAGGCAGCGCTTCAAAAACGCATCGTAAGAAGGGGCTGTAATATGTGGACTGGGGTTCATCTAGGGTCAATTTTTGGCCCTTTAATACATAAGGAAAATTTGAATAATCAAATATACCTAAAATAAATTCATCGAGAAATTATTGAGCTTTGTATTAGAAAAAAGTTGCATATTTTAGGGTTTAGTAAAATGATCAACTCGGAAATTCAGATCAATTCCGAATATATTCGAAAAAAAAAATTACCCATATTTTATTTTTTTCCGACCCTGTTTGAAAATATGTCAAAAAACAAATAACATTTCCTGGCAGATACTTTTTTAAGCTCTACAAGATCGTCCCAACAGATTTCCACTGCGATGTTTTGTCTTTAGGAAACCATCATCAACTACATATTTTTATATGGACCACAAAAAAGTACATACTGTATTGAATGGCATTTTTGATTTGATGGATGGCAGGAAGGCACAATATGTTTCTTTATTAGGTATGTCATTGACAGGAACCATCGATGAATTATTATAACATTTTGTCAACGCCTACTACACCAAAAGGTTAAAAATGTAATAAAAAGCATTTTTTCTGTCTTAAATAACTTAATAAATAATAAACATTTTGGTGTAAAATGTCAAAATAATTCATTAGAGGTTCCTTTAAATGACGTAATACAGAATCATATTGTGCCATACATCGTAATAAAAGTAAAAACGAATCAATGTCGGTTTTTTTCGAATATCTTCGGAACTGATTGGAAGTTGTGATTTTTTAAATCATTTTACCAAACCTCAAAATACCCCTTTTTTCTAATTTCACCGACTGTGTACCTCTTATAGTTTCCGATTTCCCCACGCTGTTCATTCTTAAATATCTTGGACACGCAGTATGGGGAATGGTAAGAGATAAATTAATGTTTCGACACCAGCCTGGAAATAGAGATTTGGACAACCCTTTTTGGGATGCTGTTCAATCTTCAAGAAAAATTGAAGTCAACGGCTGATTATGTTTCTAAAAATCAACATTCCTTTAAGTTTATGTTGGTAAAACTAACCGTAGCTAAGACACTTTCTAGTACTTTCAAACCAGAACTCTTTCTTTTCCTGTGCCTTGAAATTCTATTAGTTCTATTTAACCTCTCTAGTGCCGAGCTCGAAGCCAAAATTTATTATCTTTGACTACAAGCGACGATTTTTAATATTCTTTTTTGTCCTAGGTGCCATACATTCTATTCATTCTGTTCGGAGAGGGTTCTTGACAGACAAGGAAGTATGGTGCCGAGCACTTCTTCGCAACTCTTCACAGTTACCTAATACCTGCCAAATAAAAAAAAAATGGGAAGCTCTTCCTCAAAGTTTAAGAAATACCTTCAACATGGCGACGAGTTTGCAGCGATGCAAATTTACCAAAATTCACCCGAACTCAGAAAAAACCTTGACCCAAATTTAAGTTACGGCGAAAGCCACAATCACAATACCGCTTTACACTATGCAGCAAAACACGGTGAGTGTCGCTTTTGAAAGAGAAAAAGTTTTAAGTTTGTAATATAGGAATGAAGCACCTACTGAGAACGTTCCTAAATGACTTGGGAGGGAATCCTAACAAGAAGAACGGATCGAATGAGACCGTTTTGCATTGTTCGTGCCAACTAAATCAGAGCAAGGCGTTTAGCGCACAAGAACGACGAGCTGCGTGCGTGCAGCTGCTGGTCTACTGGAAGGGTGTTCATTTGAAGGAGGGTGGAAGAGAAAAAATCGACCTGGCCGCGCAAGACAAGGTTAGTTTCTGACTATGTTGAGGTTGACTTAATTATGAAATGTAGGAGGGAAACACGGCGTTACATTGGGCCGCTTCGACAGGACTGAAGAGATGTGTCGAATTATTGTTAGGTCATGGTTCGCCGCTTTTTTCTGAAAATAACGACAAGTTGACACCTTGCGATTTGGCTATGCGGCAGTCGCATCACGATATTGCGAGGCTATTGGAAAGTAAAATGGTTTTTGTAAGTACGCATATTGTATGAGTTACAATTATAAAGCTTATTTGGTTGTGGAAAGGATGTGAAATACATTAATAGGTTTTGAAATAGAGTGACATGCACAACAAAAGAGCTTTGTTACAAGGCCTGAAAATAAGTCATACCATAACACACACGTTTGTGACTCATACGTGAGTTTTAAGTTTAGGTTGCAACTTTCTACGTTGTCGTGAAGTAGACATATCCTATCGTCCGATCAATCGCTCATTCGATAGCTTTATGTCCATCGGTTTAATAGAGAACGGATGGAACGATTATAATGAAATTTTGCAGGTGGATTCTTTATCAAATTTGCAGATCGGAGTTCGTGAATTGGCAATGTAGGTTAAAAACTAAGGAAGGCCCTTTTGATATCTCCGTTAGTTATAAACCGAATTGTATGAAATTCAAACTGGGCATAGCTTTAGCGATATAATACCCAATGCCAAGTTTAGCCAAATCGATTCAACGTTCACAGTGCCTCTTTAGCGCATTTTTGCAAATTTATTTGTAAAAATATAGCTTTCACTTTGGTTGTCTACCAGCCAGCCAGCCAATGAGGGCCCGTATAGGAACGCTTGTAGAAAGACGAGGAGTATACATGTACCTACCGGGACTATATAATCAACCACTTCCAGACGAGGCGTCGGCGTATTTGACTAAGGTGGTGATTTTTCAGTTTTTTCCTATCTTCTTCTAGAGTTTTGGTCCGATTGTTTTCAGACTGGTGTCGTCGGAGAGAGTTTGTAAACGCGCACAACTCTTACGTAACGAAATTAATCACCTCTGGCAAGGCGCGCGTCTTTGAGAGGTAGTCGCTGTGAGGTTTGTCACGCGGTTTCTCTATCTCATGTCGCCAATAAAAGCTAGAGCTTAGAAGTGCCCCAAAAATTGAGTACTATTTTGTGGATGGTTTTTAGCGAAATCCACCAACATATCCACACATATTGCCTCAAACGTTTGCCTGATTGGCTTCATACACAATTGCCGTAAGCGCTATCGTTTGTTTACGTTATCCACTTGTCTGGTCCTGTCCGGGTTGGTTACGTACTACCTTATCTGTAGTAGAGATTTGCACGAAATCGGGGTAGAAGCCCTCCTCGGCTGAGCAATCGAGGAGGTTGGGGTGCTTTCGTCCCCTGATTAGCACTAGTGTGGCCGTGTGGCGTCTTAGGCCGAATTCAGAGGCTTATACCTCAGACCCTTGTTCAAGGGACGAGGATGCCGAACTCTGGTTACCGAAGTTACCGCGAGGAGATGTTTTCCTCTGCTAGTCTTTCATGGGAAGTGCTTTTACTATTCTATTGGGTTCTAACGAACGATGTATTAAAAATCTGTTCAAATATCACTTATAATTGCACAAGAGGTTTGTATTTTACCGAGTAAATTTGGGTTGTTTAGGTAATAAAAATCTGTTGCCTAGTAATTAGACGAGAAAAACTGTCAACTAATAAAAATGCGACACCGCAGGTGGAGCATTTTTAGGTTGACAGTTTTTCGAGTTCAATTGCTAAAAGGAAACAGATTTGAATTGGCACAACCCAAATTTATTCGGTTTAAATACAAACCTCGAGTGTAATTCGGCAGGACAATTTAACGAACAAGAAATTCACCAAACTAATCAATTATTGACAGACGTCAAACTAGTCATATGGGAAAGGGTAATGCGATAATTGGTTCGAAAATGAATAAGTGAAAAAACCACTAGTGCATTTGTCGCTGGAAAAGTTGCCGCTGTCAAAGTGACAATTTCACTGCGGCTTATGCGATTTTTTATACATGAGTTGAATTGTCATCAGAAAAAAATAAAAACGAAATCGGCAAATTTCGGTTTTTCTGGCATATCTTCGGAAGTAATCGGAATTTCCTTGTTTTCTTTACAGTTTGATAATTACAATTGGGCAACTTTTCCTGATCGGACCATCTTCGTATCTTCTTTGATTTTCGAGATCCCCATGATAGACATCCTTATCTTGGACAAAAAATTCAAATATGCTTAATGCGCGTTTTATTACGAGATAATTTCCCAGTCTACCTAATTAAATTATTCTAAGCACTGTTGAGTGAAGGAATGCCGATAATTTCAGTTTTTCAAATGAATTTTTTTAGTCGACCGGGTATTAGGCAAAAATTAATAATTGTGAATGATTCCCTGGTCTGTTGTATTGAATCATTTAATAAGGTAAATGCAAACACAACTGAAAGCTTTCCTTTCAATTGAACGTTTATATTTACTTACACCCGATTAAATTACGAAGATGAGCTATTCGCACAAATGCGATTCGTGGTCAAAAATTAAACAGACGAGTAGTCGGGACACATCAAACACCGTCGATTTTCATTAGTGTCTAATAGGTCACCGAACCGGAAGTTTAATAACTAGATCTCATGAGAAATTGTTTTGTAATACGAAAGGTGACTTCAACCCCAAGCTTGGTTTAGACACTTGCGTATTTAATATATGAATCAATACATCAAAGGACTGAAAACCCTCGATAAGACGAAGGCGTGTTCAGTTTTGAACAATTGAAGAGTTGTGGTTCTTTTTGATAAAAAGGGCGAGGTCAGCGAAAATGAATGATTCTGAAACGGACTCTCGAGCAAAAATCTTTAATAAATGGTCGCTCTAAAATAACTAATAACAGAGATACAAACCATACAAATTTCAATGTCAATTACTGTACTGTCAATAAATGTTATAGAAAGAATGAACATGAAAACGATAAAACTATAAACAAAGGAATGTTGTATTGCAGATAATTAGACACTGAGATTGTATAGTTTTAAATATTTATAATTTTTTGCATGTACTATTGAGTTTTCCATAAAAAAATGTTTTGTTGTCTATCATAATCGTCAGATGCTCATTTCTTCTGTTTTATTTAATCATTTTAATCTTGAAAAAATGATCATCTTTGCTAAGTCTCCAAAGAAGGAAATTAGCAATAATGCCGGTTTTATTGGAACATACTGTATGTAAAATTACCTCTACACCAACAATTTCTACGCAAAATAATGTAGTGGTATCTTACAGAAATAGGGCACCTTGTATATTCCAACTGTTCAACACATTCGTGTTTTCCGGGTTCTATTGAATCTTTCAACTACCGCATTTGCAGAGTCTGGATTATGGTAAATGTTTATACGTTTGCTAATGCTATTTGATTCCCGCTTTTAATTACATTATAACATCTTGTGGGTGTGGGACTGCAAGACCCTTTTTTCAAACTTTTCATATAGAACGCCACGTTCACGTTTTTAGTATTCGATTAAACCTTTTCAACTTCCGAAGCTGTATGTTTCTAAAAAAACACCCATGTATGTTTGTGTTCTCGGTTACGTTGTGCGTGAACTGTGGAATTCGTTGTAGGTATCTATTCAAACTTTCCATATTAGAAGAATTCGTTCAAATATGCCATTTTTACGATGTATTTATTTGCAAATTGGAATTGCAATTGAAAATATGTACCTTTGGCAAGGGCGACTATTCATTTTTCAAAAGTCAGAACTCGAATAATCCATGTATTTAGAGAAAAGGGTATTGCAAATAAAGTCGTCCGGGCACTAGTCTTGACATCGGGATCAAAAATTCATGTAGCATTTCCCTAAATATCTGTTGTTCCTGTTTAACTTGAACCGCTACCATTTACTACTATTTTAGGTACCTGCAGGATTTTACAATACTGGGTTATACCTACTTAGACCATGCGAATTATTAAGCAACAGCATAGTAAAAACTATCCGCTTCGCTTTGAGCTTTACCGTGGGATGCGATCTAAAAGATTTTCTTTAAGCTTGTAGCAGAAATATTATTTCGCACAAGTTTTTCCTCTAATGTCACATTAAAACACCATAAAAGTATAGTGAATCATAATAATCCTAATTAATTAAACAAACACCGTTAAGTAATCATGTCTTCATAACTGTCAAAGTTATTTTTAATTACCTCTTGTTTGTCATTTAACTTTAATAACTAACACAAGCACTTTAAAATGGCATTTTTAAAATTGCTTTAATTTACCAGGGCGATAACGTAAACACTGTAAACGAAGACGAATTTTTAAACGGGCAAGAGGAGGTTTATAGTGGACTAAGAAGTCAGGATTTGCAGGAAGCTAAGGATCAACTTTTAGTTGATACATCCGATATGTTAAAAATACCCTTATTTACCGCCGAAGCACTTTTAAGAAACAACGGTAGTTCGCTGTGTTATTTGCGCATATTCTGTTTAATTAATTATTGCCGGACAGATTGGTCAAGAGAGCTGCTGTTGGAGAAATGGATGAAGGATCCGGTCGAGTGTTGCCAGTTGGCCGGTGTGCAGGCGCCTAGTTCCGCATTGCAACACGGTAACTCATGGGAGTCCAGTACGTCTTCGGAGACTAACGAATCTTTTTATAAACCGGAAATTATGGTAAGTAACTCGCCTTTATCGCATAGACGCATTTATCCTCTGTTTCAGTGTGAAATTTGTTTTTCGTTGATGTCTGAGTGGGAGCAGTCGATACTGATGTCGTGTCAGCATATATTTTGTAAACATTGTTGGGAGAGTTATCTGACTATTAAAATACAGGATGGGGATGCTCATCACATTATGTGCCCAGCCTATCAGTGCCATATTTTAGTACCGGTAGAACTAATTGAACGGTTAGTCAGTCCTGAAATGGCCAGAAGGTATTTGCAGTTCGATATTAAGGTAAGAGGTAGTTTTTGTAAGTACTTTCAGCTATAAATTGAAGATATACGAGTTGCACAAGTTAAGAACACCTTTATACTGCCATAATAGTCAACTTTCGTTGCTTTTTAGTAATCGTTACATTTCCTTACTACGCAGATCAGTATTCGTTATCGTTACTATAGTTACTCATATAACATAATGCATAGAATTATAGCAAGTCTCTGATTTAGAAGCATGAAATGGATGGATTATTACTACTAAGTACTCATTTTCAGTCCCTTTGTTATCGTATGTAGGTAAGGTATAATTCAAAGCCCGAGAAAGAAAGAAATGTACGTATTTTATTTAATGAAAAAGGCTTATAAGTTATAAGATGTGGTCATTACAATTTAAAAATAGAATTTTTTCCGTAGTATTGCCTTTCAAACGACTTTGCCTTTCAGATATTGCCATAACTGGTAAATATTGCTGTGTTATTTCGTCGGCCAAAAAGACCGTACACAAAATAATATTTTCTTGCCAACTTAGAGAGCCACGGTCCACGGATATACTTTTTCTCTCTCTTTCCACCACATCAAACGATTTTGTTTCCTATCTAAGTTTAGTTCTTCCGTATACAATCTGATTTCTGCAATAGCGGTCGTGGTTGGACTAATGATACTTGTTGAAGATTTTACAGACTCATCGAAATCATACCAGATCAGGTCGCTGTTGTCGTCGGAAACAGTTGTATCAACAGGAGTTTCCTTTGTGACAATATCCTGTTGGCTTTTTCTTATCATTTTAACAATTTCATCTTGTAGCTTGTCTTTAACTTTTCTCAAGTATTCTTCCCTTCCAAATACTTTAGTTTTAAACCTGGGGTCTAAAAAAATGCTTTCCCTAAAATGGCAGTGTCTTCCAGATGATGGTGCGGTTTTCCTTTGAGACGAGTATGTAAAGCAGAACCGTAAGCCAACAATATCACATTGTCTTTTGTATTTCCGAAACGGGCAGTAATTTCGACCAACAGTTGTTGTATGAGTTTTCCTTCTTCGCTGGTGATTTGAGATTGCAACCGCTCCAAAGACGAATATAGACCCTTTACACAAATATTTCAACACAACCCATTCGTCCTGCGATGGTAAGGTCACGGGATTGTGCAAAAGTCCTACCGTTGCACTCAAAGGTTCGGCTAATTCTAACACTCTCTCGAACATGTAATACGTCGAGTTCCAACGCGTCTTTACATCATTTTTCAACTCAATAGTCACTTTGGTAGAATTCATTTGTGCTTGTGTTGCAAACAGTTTAGTATTGGCCTGAGACCTCTCGTGAAAGTATTCTATCATTTCTTTCACTTTCTTTTGAATTTTTTTACACTCTGTTGCTATACCGCTCATTACTACCAAATTAATGTTGTGGGCGAAACAGGGAATGTGCGCCCATCGTGTTAATCTAGAAGCAGGAATTACATTTGCCGCATTATCAGTCCTGATTGCATATACTTTTTCCGAAATTTTCCATTCGGACACGACGCGTTTTAATTGGTTGGAAACGTTTCCTGCGGTATGTGATACATTATACGGAAAACATGACAAAAGACATCCATAGAGCTTCCACGCATTGGTGATAAAGTGGGCGGTAACAGCCACCCTTCCGCATTTCGAGAGGTCCAAGCATCCGTACTTAAACTGGTATACTCAGCAGTGTCTAGTAAAGTTGGAAGCGTCTCTTTTTTTGAATTATATCTGTGTTCCAGCAAAAATTGAGTCAATGTAGATCGACTGGGTATTTTGTAGGAGGGCTCTAACGCTTCTAGTAACGATCGAAAACATAGATCTTCTACGATGGAAAACGGTTGCAGATCTTTCACAATCATGCCCAACACCAAATCGTTAATTCTCATTTGACGGGGGATGGAAATTGGACACGATACAAACCCTTTAATATACATACCCAATGTACACAGGGTGTCCACAAGCTTAACCTATCTATTTTACCTATACTTAACTTAGAAAATACTATATACAACTCGCCACACGGGTCCTACTAGTAACCGGTGCGTTACATGGTATAGCGTTGCACAATAAAAGTACTTATCACATTTCGTCAATTGAGTTTGATGAGAAAAAAAATTCACAGATTTCGCAATCCTGGCAACCATCGGAGGCATTAGAAATAATAACCGTACAACGCCATATATGTAACACAAATAACCTTTATTCATACGGTATCACTTGCTCCACTCGCTCGCAAGCTCACTCGTGTCGCAACCGTACACTTTCCAAATAATAAGCGTTGTAACATGTGTGTAATACCATCACGGGCGATGTGCGATAAATTTAGATTCGAATTAACAAAACCCTTGCGTACTGTTACGTAAGAGTACCATATCGACAGTATCCGCGACTTTCCTGAATCTACCGATTGCAGTCGAGTACTGGGCAATCATCACTTGATTCCACACCAATTGTCTTCTTTTCTGCTCGACTAACCCGTAACTTCATACCCATACAAAACATAAGCATTTCCAATTGTAACCGGTTACTTTTCAACTCTACCTACCGTTTCTTTCTCAAACTATTTTATTTAGGGGTGGTTCTTCTTACATAAAATAATTGTTGTTGGGCGCCGGCCAGCTTCAGTCGATGATCCTTTTCTGACCGCGAGGAAATGGGAAAGGATAAATGAATAAAAATCAATAGTCTTTATTAAAGCCTATTACGTTCTTTTTCTCTTGGCAAATCGCCTTTTTGCTGTAAATAACACACGTCAAGAGAAATGGGAGGTGAGGCGGTACGTTCTTGTAAAAGTAGGGTTAACTCATTCATTCACAAAAATTCACTGCATAGAAAGGAAAATCTGTCTTTATTACGTTAGTCAATAATCCAAATATTTACTCTAAAACCGCCGAGTACAGAAAGAAACTTAATTCTTGTTTCATAAATTAGTATACAAAAATAAAATCAAAACAAACTGCTGTAAATGGGTGTAGTAACGTCTCCAGGCACGAGTCGTTAAAATGAAAACAAAAAACAGTGCTCACAAGCACTTATTGGAATGCAACCCTAGTAGGTGATTAAATCGCCTTTACAATAACACAAATTCAAACGACAATGCAATAATCTACGACGGGGCGAAGAACGAAGACGATAAACTGCAACGCGATAATGTTTACTGATTTATAAATACCTTGAACGTCTATTGTTAATGTGCACTAGGATTCGGAGTGCAGTCTTGGTCTCGCTCCGATCGATGTTGAAATCAAATTAACTCAAGACCGCCCACTGAAAGCTGCAATTCAAATTTCGGTTGGGCCAATCACAGACAGGTAGGTTTCAACGTGACTTTTTCGGCACCCTCCAAGTAGACTGTGCACGGACCGCGTGTAGAACTGAAAATGGAACTGTTCTTCGGAAATCTTCGCAATCTTCCAGACTTGCTCCGGACTGCCGTGAAGGATCGTCTTCGCCTTCGATGTAGTGGCTGGATGGAAATGTTTTCGCTCGGTTCTTTCTCTTGATTTTCTTAAAAAAAATCGCCTCAATTCACTATTACAAGAAAACGCACTTATGATTTACGGGCGCGACTGGCACAGAGATTGCTCCGTTAAAAGACGGCGGGAAACTGTCTTTTGGTACTGGAAATTTCCGTATTTATACTCTCGTGGAGTTAGGGAAAATCGAGAAATTTTGAAAAGCCTTATTGACATTACAATACATCTCTGTATCCAAGAATTACCGTTTAGGGGCCATGATGAATTCGACGATTCTCTAAACCGCGGGAACTTTAGGGAGCTTGTGAGCCTAGTCAGCAGATATGATCCCCATTTAAGGGATTTTTTGGAAAAGGATGGTGACACTAGATCGGTATTTTCTGGAGTATCTAAAACCATTCAGAATGAATCAATGAACTGATCGATTCTGTCGCATTTGTTGTTAATCAGAAAATAGAAGACGAAATTTCTAAATCATTTATTTTAGTGGCAAATCGATGAAACTACTGATGTTAGTTGTAAATAGCAGTTGTCTGTAATATTTCGTTATCTCCTTAAAGGGCGACCTGTAGAACGTTTGATGGGATTTTTTGACGTTAATTCTGGGCGGTCTGCAGAGGATTTGTTGAAACAAATTTTTAACAACTAAATTCGGAAAATTCGATTTGGGCACTAAATTAATTGCGCAAACATACGATGGTGCGGCAGTAATGGCCGGAGAACTGAACGGTTTGCAAACCAAAATTAAAACTATTGCACCCTAAGCTTTATTTACCCATTGTTACGCGCACGTATTTAATTTGATATTGTGGAGCTTGTACTTGTAATCAAGCAGTCAGTCTTTTTCGCGTCGTTATCCGGATTTGCCTCCTATTTTTGAAAATCTACAGAACGCACCCAAGTATTAGATCAAATATGCGGACGTCGTATGCCTACCGGTGCACCAACACGTTGGAATTTTACGTCTCGTGCTGTTCCAAACAATAAAGATAGTTTGTTTGAAGTTTTTGATTTTATCATCAATAGTCTCGAATTTGACGATGCATCTTAAGAGGCGCAATTGGTTTAAAGAAATTTCTGGAAGATTATAAAAATATATTTTTGTTAGAATCTTTTACACTTATTTTCCAGCACACGGACACTGTTTTTAACGTATTACAGAGTAAATTTACGGATATCGTCAAAGCACGGGCTTTACTACAAAACACATTAAATAAATTACACGTTTCGAAATAATAACATTTACTTCGACAACATTTATAAAAACTAAACTAGACATCGACATTAATGAACTACGATCGCAACGACGTAAAGGATGTGAGATGGAGGACAAACAACAGTAATTACGCCAAATTTTTTTTTGAAATTATTGATATTATAATAAATCAAGTACAGATCAGGTTCTCTGATATCGAAAAACTGCATTTTTTCGATTTGCTGAATGTTTCTAAATTCTCTTGTTTTGCTAAAAACTTTCCTGATGATCTAATAAAAATCACTAATTCAACAATATAATTTTTTTAACGCGGATTTATTAAAAAACGAGTTAATTGTTTTATACGAAAACAACCTAGTGGAAGATTACACCACGCCTGTAGAAATGAAATTTTTCCACGACAATGAACTGCAGTCGTGTATGTCGGAATTCTTCAAGCTAATTTGCGTGGCTGTTGTTTTACCCGTTGCGTCAGGTTCGAACGAAAGAAGTTTTTCTGCATTGAAAAAAGTTAAAACCCACATTAGGAATTCCATGGGTTAGGCGCGGTTAAGTAACGTGGCGAAAATTTCAATCGAAAAAGGGTTTATAAAATGCCAAAACGACGGTTTTGTGGAAGAAATAATAGATCATTTTGCAGCGCAAAAAAATCGCCGCATACCGCTAATTTATAAGAAATATTAAAGAATTTGTTTCGAAATGTTTAGCAGAACGTCTGTTTTTATTTTATGGAAATTTTTATTTAGTTATATGTCTGGATTTTAGAAATCATGTTTATTTTGTTGTGTTTAACAGAGTAATTTATTTATTTATTGTTTTTGGAGTATTTAAAAAATGCGGTTTAGGTAGGAAATTTTTCGGAGGCGAAGGCGACTACTATGGAAGTACTAACTCATAATACCCCCACCCTCACCCTACGCCTTTACCATGCCCAGCCTCACCAACTACGAAACTCATGAGCCGCCACTGTTATAAATTGTTTGCAGAGTGAAATAGAATTTGGTCAAGTTTGCTACCGCAAGTGTACTTTCGAACAGTAGATGCTGAATTTTTACTGATTTTCAGGCATTCGTCGAAAGCAATCGAAGTATCAAATGGTGTCCGATTGCAGGCTGTGGAAGGGCCGTTCGTCTTCCAGAAACGGAGCAATACGAAAGTAAAAATCCAAACAAAACTGTTCCCGAAAGTTCGCACGCTGTTGATTGTGGGAACGGCCATTTCTTCTGTTGGGAATGTCTGGGTATGTTAAATTACGATTGACTTCCACCCGAAGTTGTGGGTTAACAGGTGAAGCGCACGCCCCATGCGGTTGCAAACAGTGGCAGGAGTGGCAGCTGAAAATCGCAGAGATAAAACCAGAAGAACTGAGGGCGTCATGTACTGAGAGCGAGGATGCTGCTAACTGCCTGTGGTTAGTTACAAATTCGAAGCCGTGCCCTAACTGTAAAAGTCCAATTCAAAAAAACGAAGGGTGCAATCATATGAAGTGTTCAAAGGTAAGACGCTCTGGGAATCGTTTCCAGTAGCCCTCCGTTGTTTTACAGTGCAAATTTGATTTCTGTTGGGTCTGCCAAGAGTCTTGGAAAAAGCACAGTTCAGCGACCGGCGGCTATTTCCGTTGCAATCGATTTGAAGCCGTGCACAAAGCCGACGAGAAGCAGGGTAGCTTAATTTCCGAGGCGGTCGATCGAAATAATCAAATGCAGGAAATGTCTCGCTTTTTGCACTATTACACTCGATTTCGCAATCACGAGAATAGTCAAAAGCTGGAAGAACCGCTTCTAACTGGTGCAAGGCAGAAGATGGAGCTTTTGGCGAGTAGTTTAGGTTTAAAATGTACAGAAGGTGGGTGAGTTTGGTCGCTAACGGACGCAATTATTGCGTAATTTACAGAAAATGGTGAAAAGGGCACAAAATTCGTAGAGGATGGGGTTAGAGAGCTTTTAAAGGCGCGAAGGGTTTTGTGTGGATCATACGTATACGGTTACTATCTAGAGGATGATGGATATAACAAGACAATATTTGAATTTATGCAGGTAGAGTTCAAATTTAAAATTAGAGGTGCTGTAATTATGAATGTAGAACGAGTTGGAGGAGGTGACTGAGAAGTTGAGTGAAATGATCGCTCGTCCATATTTACGTACGCCAAAATCTGTGATAATTCAAACCTCAAATTTAGCTAGAAGAAAACGGCACGAATTCGTACGTGCCGTCGCTCAAGGTCTTATTCCAGCTGAAACACCCCCAGTACAAAGAAAGCAGCGCAAACGAAAATATATCGATGGAAAAAAGCTGAGTCATTCGTATTCAGAGGCGAGTACTTGGTTAAAAAATGCTGAGTGGCCTGACTATGACTCCGAAGACGACGAAGATATAATTTCCCGATCACATAGTCGCGGCTCTCCCGTCGGAAAAGATCATCAGTGCACTCTCCAATGCAACTGGAAAAATTGTGGAAGTGAGTGTAATCGAGTGCAATACCTACTCTAAAATATTTTCCATTTAGGATTCGGACTATCGTCGGATTACAACGTAGAATTAATCATAGCGTTAGAAATGTCTCGTTTGCAAATGATTGAAGATCGAATGAAACAAGCAATCACCATTACGCCAGATGCCAGTTCTAGTGCACCAAATAGCAATGTGGAGACCAACGATGACCAGCTGAAATTAGCCATACAATTAAGTTTACAAGATTTTTCTGGTAACAATACAAGTAAACCGCCACGATTAGAACAGGAAGCCAGTTGCACTACCAGATCGTATCAAAAGACTAGTGCAGACATCACAGTCGACAATTTTTTAAAGTCGTTGGCGAACCAAAAAATTGATTTTAAACAATTAGAGGTAAACTTAAGTTTGATGAACAGCGATTGTGCTAAGGACTGGACAAAAGACGAAAATGAATATTTCTTTAAACCGTGCAATGGAAACGAAGACGGGAGGTTTCAAATATCGGATATACACGAGAATGGCTTTACGTTTGCCGACGAAGACGATTTCGTAGCCGATATACGGTTAAAGAGGTCACACTCAACCGGAGATCTTTGCGTGAGGAAAGCCAACAGGGATGCCCGAGCTAGAATGGATGGAGAGGAGCCTAGGTACCATCTGGATTCAGACCACAGCATACAACATGACGAAAAGCCAGAGGATGTGGGACGTAAGGCTGTCGCGACGAATGCAGCGGAGCGTGCGAAGCAGTGTCGGTTTCTGAATCAAACTCACCCCGAAGAGAAATACTATGAAGGACAAAGTTCTGCGGAGGATACCACGATATCGGATTCTATAAATGCCGATGTGGAGGTGTTAGGGTTAAGTGACAGTGCTCCGAATGATGAAAACAAGAGCTGCGGCGCCAGTGACGCAAAGGATTTTCTACCCGCTTCAATTTTTCACGATAATCTCCCCAAAGAAAATGAGAAAAATGACATATCAAAGAGCGAACAGGTTAAGAAACAAAACAAGTTTGCATCGTTAAAAGCGAAGTTTTGCGCCACACACCTACCGAAACGTTGCGGTTTAACAAAGCTAGCGATCAACAAGAGTATTGAACTTTTGAACGAAACCAAGTCCTGCCATCACCAAAGCAAGGAGCACGCGGTGGTTGTGCAGCAGAAGCTCTCTCTGTTAACACGCAATGGCAACGACGTCCCGTGGAAAGTAAAACATAGTCAGGACCCAAATATTTCGAAATCGACAAGCTTTCTAGTGGATAGTCACGTAGACGCAAACGCGAAACACTCAAATTTGCGAATAAAGATTTGCAAAAATTCCGCTGCCAAATGCAATAACGTATCCGCTCTGGAAACCGATAGCTCCAACGAGTACGAATCAGAAACGGGCATCCCGAAATCACCGACCCTGTTTATCTCAGGTGTTTCAATATCGCGAACACCAGAACCAAAATCTCCAGGTCTTAGCATAGTATCAAATGGTAGACAATCTAGATCGTCTAGTTTAAGTGTTCCTGTGCCTCTATCTTCGTGTTCGTTAAATATTTCTAGTAATAGTCTGAACAATTCCTTACCTCCTTCGTCTTCGATTTACTCAAACACTACGAGTTCACACGACAACGTACAGAACAGTCCTAAACACAATCCATCACAGTCGAGTAGTCCGGGCGTAGAACAGACGAAATCGAAGAGTGCTAGTGAACCGGAACGCGAAAAAGAAGTGTTCAGGTTTCCGAAATCTTCTACCGATGGCGCCTTAAGTTCCGTACTGCACGTTCAAGAATCAAATTTGAGTTCAGACGATTTTCACGAAGCGCTATTTTTACTGGAAAGATCTCCGAAAACGCGAGATTCGAAACGACGAAAGCGATCTAAGAAAAAGGAGAAAGACGAACGAAAGGAAGACGTGAGTTCCGCTTTATGAACAAATAAGACTGCTAGTTGTTACTATTATTACTTATTAGCAGTTTTGTGATCCGTTAGAGATATGTATCTGTTACATGTGCCACTTCTATGAATGTATTATGGGAAACGTTTTATACCAAATAATTGTATTATCGCATATATTAATGTTAATTCTTTTTATCGGTTTTTATTAACTTTTTGACGTTGGTGTTGTTAGATACGCGAGGTTTGATATTTATGTCTATCAAGGGTTGTAAACGATATAAGTAGGTAGTTATAATTCAATTAAATTACACATATGTGATATTATAATGGCCTAATTGTGTAACTTAGTTGATCGCCGCGACAACAGTTGTATTTTGTTTATTTTCAGGACTGTTTACATTTAATTATTCGACTGTTAGTTTGTGATTTTTTATAGGTGATCGATATGGCTGCAAAGTTTTATAGTACCCGTGCATTTAATTTTTTCAGCATTAAACAAATATCATAGCTAAAAACTGGAATATACCTACACGTCAGTAATTTTAATTAGTCTATATCGTTTATTTTAATTTCCCATAATTTATATAAAACAAAGTACCAGACTATTAGTGATTCTTATAACAAAAAGACTTGAAAATGTAGTTATTTTGCAATTTGTATTGAAATTTTCGACTTTGTAAATTTATTTATTAATTTTTTTAATAAATTATTTTATGACTATAGACGCAGTAATTACGATTGTAAACTAAACTACTTCATTCCCGATACTACGGTAACAAATGAATACGACAAAATGCATAATTCTTCCCCCTTCGCGCCCGCCGGCAAAAATCCGAAAAAATCGGCACTTTCTTCAAATTTTCGCCTATCTTCGTTTTGGACCATTTTAGCCACCAAAGAGTTCTACTCAATGTTGTAGAGAATTAAATTTCCTATAATTTACGTTTTTAAATCTTGTTTCAAAGACTGACATTTGCATTTTTCAAAAAAATTTTAAAAATCGTCTTCCCGGAAATTTGTGAAACCTCTAACTATAGAGCGGAGTGAGTGACAGGTACCTGATACTGTAATAATGGCATCAGAAGCAGAGATGTGAATAGAAATACTTCATCTGCAATAAGGATCTGGAACACAGTTACAGTGAGACGTAAAGACTATGAGATATATGTAAATCGACCAAAAAAGGGCTAAAAGCATCTATAAAGCGGAGAAAGAGGAAATAACCGTCTTCAAGGAATACACGACACAGGAGAAAATGGCAGCAAACACGTTTGGTCACGTCAAAGAATTTTGCATTCAGAAAGGAAATTGGAGATTATGGACGGAGAGATTAGAACAATACTTCATAGTCAATGATATACCTATAACTCTCGCCAGGAACGATTGTCGGTCACAGCACACTTAATCCCGATCTACAATCTCTGTTTTTCGTAAGGTGCTAGCGACTTCCGGGATAGTAACGTGTCAATGTTGAACGAAAAGACTTTTTGTGCAACATTAGCACGATCCGATTCCAGAAGTCGCTCGCATCTTAATAAAAACAAAGATTGTAAATCGTCACAAGGTGTGCTGTGACCGGCAATCTTTCCTGGCGAGAGTTATAAGGAAAAGAAGGTACCAACATTGTTAACAATGGTTGGGTCTGAAGGATATTCCCTACATAAGGACCTTTGCATTCCAGGGGCTCCGACAGAAAAATCATTTGAAGAGTTAAAGAAGCCAATGCTAGAACATTTACAGCCAAAACCAAACAAAATTGCGCAACGTTATAAGTTCAAACATCGAAAGCAGGGTAATGACGAAACAGTTTCGGAGTATCTTGCAAGTTTAAAGCAACTGTCAATTAATTGCGATTTTGGGGAAAATTTTGGAGTCGAACTTAACAGATCCACTTGTATGAGGAGTGAAAAGCGAAGCAGAAGAGCGAAAGCTATTGGCAGACAAAACGTTAACCTACAAGAATTGAAGTAGTTGAAATCACTTTAAACCTGGAAGTAGCAAATAGGGATGTGAGTGCATTAATGAGCAAAAGTGAAACGCAAGTAAATTATTTTAAACGCAAAGAACAGACTTATAAATCGTATAAAAATAACGGTAGCGCTAGTTATATAAAGGCGGTGGATCTAAAAGTACAGAACGACCGAGACAACAGATCATCAGCTGATTCGAGAATGACAACTTGTTGTTATTGCGGCGCCCAAGATCATTACACCAAACACTGTGGAGCAGTTATTGCTGTAATTGCAGCGGCAAGAGAGGTCATACAGCCAGGGTATGCAGGAGAGGCCAAAATTCAAGCAGCAGCAACCACTATATGAGGGACGATTCATTTCGAAACCGCGTGGAAGACGTAACAGCTCACTAAAGCGAAACCGAGCAGGAAGTTTTATTCAACGCGGACAACAACGATGGTGTCCGTCTGTCCGTGAACACGATAACTGCCAAACGCTTGGATCAATTTGGTTCAAACTTTGCACGGTTGACCTATATGCCACATGTAACAAGTCTATAGAAAGTGGGTCAAATCCAATGACCCCTTGGGGCGTAGCCTACCGATAGAACTAGCCGTGACACTCATCCCCACTATTGCGTTGACGTCACAACTGACGGCGGCCGTCATATCGTAATTAATTCCAAGTAAGTTTTATGTTAACTTATTTTTTAATGTTGTATACTTACATTAACTGTATTATTTGAACAGAATAAGTAAGAAAATGCCAAATACGTGCTGCGTCCCTGGTTGCAAAAGCAATTATAGTTCAAGAGACAAGGTTACGGTTTTTCGTTTTCCGAATTCAGCGGGACAATTTCGAAATTACTAGTTACTTCAGGATTGGTATAAAGCATTTCTCCGACATTTTCATTATTCGGGTAGACATAGATGACTGGACAAGGCGGTACAGTATTAACAGTTCCACGAAACCAGATTAAACTTGCCGAAGACGCGTATCCCACCATTTTTGAAAATCAGCCATCATATATTAGTCCAGTCAAAATACGAAAATCAGAGGAACTAAAAATACTAGTTCCAATTTTTTCAGAAATGTGTAGGGAGAGGTTCTCTGAACAAGAAAAAATAAAGTCCCTCCAAATTCCGGTGCCGCTGGGGGAAGGAGGGGGCTTTAAACGACCCATTTTTCAGTTTTTCGCTTTTAACTCGAAAATGGTGCGTTATAGTGAAAAAGTTCTTCAGTACAAAATGAAAGCTTATTAAAATTGCTACAAGTTTAGTGTTGCTGCAATTACGCGCACAAACAGAATCGGCACTAAAACCGGTTGCTTTACCTGTTGTGTAGTTTAGGTTTAGGTAGAAAACCATATTTTGTAATAATAACTTGTTAGCTCCCGTGCGAGCAAGATGTCAATGAAGCTATTAAAGACAAGTTAACCAATTACAATTTTTCTATATATTTCAATTTATCTACAGTCCACAACTATACGAAACATTTTGGTCCATCGAGCAAATTAATAAAAAGTGTAAATGAATGACAATCTAAATTCGCGAGTGAACACCGGCCATTGCAGTTCCTACAAGACAATTTGGGTTCAGCGCGGTATTTACCTCAGCATTCGACGTTTACATAACAATTAGTTAATACTCCGGCCATTGCAGTACCCGCAGAAAAAGCCAGGTTCAGCGCGGAAGTCGACAATCTATCCTATATTAACCGTAAGTCAATCCTTATCATTTATTATTCTATTTAAATTTGTACGATCTGTGTTTTGCTTTCAATTTTCGAAATGACCTTAAAACAGCAACGAGGTATTTTAAAGGCTCAACTGACTCGTCTCAATGATTATTTTAATAAATTAGATCAAAACAATATTTCTAGTAGCACGATAAGCGAATTACAGCTCAGGTTAGAAAAATTTGAACCCCATTGGAGCACATTTAATACAATACAAAGTTCTATTGAGGCAGAGTGTGTGAATGAAGAGCAACAATTGGTAGAATTAGATGAACGCGAGAGTTTTGAAGATGATTATTTTTCTATTATTTCAAAAATTAAAAACCTTGTAACATCTTACAATCGCCAACACTCTGGTTTTTCGTTCAATTCAAATACCACCTTCAATTCAAATGGGTACAATGTAAGTTCCGTAAAACTTCCCACTATTAAACTTCCGTCTTTCAAGGGCAATTACGATAAATGGCTCGAATTCCACGATGCATTCAAATCCATTATTCACGATAATATTGATCTTTCAAACATTCAAAAATTCTATTACCTGAAGTCATCTTTGGAAGGAGATGCCGCGCGTCTTATAGATTCTATTGAGGTATGCGCCGACAATTATCTTATTGCATGGAAGCTTGTTACGGAGCGCTTTGAAAATAAACGACTTATCGTTCATAACTTATTAAAAGGCATTTTTGAAATTAAAAAGATCAACAGAGAGTCACATTCAGAATTGCGAAACCTCTACGATACAATTAATAAAAATCTACGAAGTATAAAGGTGTTAGGGCGAGATAGCGATAAGTGGGACGATATTATGATCTACCTATTTAATTACTTCAAAATTAGATTTGGTCACATTACGGGAATGGGAATCAGAATCACAGCGGTTCGAAAATGAATTTCCAACTAGGCGAGAAATGAGTGAATTTTTAGATAATAGGGTAAATTACTAGAGAAAGTTCAATTCAATAAAGATATTAATGATCTAAAGCCAAATTATTCCAATTTTTATAAAGGTAAAAATACTTCAACTGTGCATTTAAGTAATGTTAAAAAATCATGTCAATGTTTTTACTGTAAAAAAGACCATGTCATTTATAAATGTCCTGAATTTTTAAATATGTCTCCTAATGCCAGAATTTCAGCTATAAAGAAAAGAGGATTGTGCATGAACTGTTTAAATCTTCAAATTGTCGTACTTGTAATAAAAGACATAATTCTCTTCTCCATTTAGAGGATTTATCTTTAGATTTGGAAGACAATAGAGATATAACCCATCCATCAAAATCTTCGAATAATGAGACAGCAATTACAATGCATTCCATTAAAACTAATTACCTTGTTCTATTGTCAACCGCATTAGTGTTTGTACCCGATAAGCACGGCTATTTACATAAATTCCGGGCCCTACTGGACAATGGCTCACAGAGTAATTTTGTAACAAAGAAGGTATGCGATCAATTAGGCTTAGAAAAACAAAAGGTAAATTTTGCAATTAGTGGAGTAGGTCAATCATTACAATCAATATCAAATCAAGTTACTATTTCTATTACATCGATAAATAAACAATACCATACTCAAGTGAAATGTTTAGTCATCAATAAAATTACGGAAAAACTGCCGAAACAATCATTTAATAAAAGACACCTTAATATACCTAGTGATGTTACACTAGCCGATGAAAAATTTAATGAAACTGGTCCAATAGACATTTTATTAGGTGCCGCTATATTTTGGGAAATCATTAACAAAAATACCATAAAGTTAGGTCGCGATAACCCTGTTTTACAAGATACGAAATTAGGATGGATCGTGGGAGGTAACATTACCAATGATGCCAAAGCAATTAAAAACAATTTAACGCAAGAGATAACCCTACGAGGTTGAAATCGATAGCCGCAATAGAACCAATAAAAACGTGTTAAAAAAGATTCTCTTTGATCCCATTCTACATCGCACAACACGTTTAAAAACAATGGAACAATACATCAAGAGATAACTATTTGTACAAATATAGAACACAATTTAGACGATT